GGTGGCCACATTGGGCTCTGAGGTAGTGTGACCAGTGTGGGCTCGGGAGCCCCAGGGACCAGGTCGCTGATCCCCTGGGTTCTGGAGCAAGGCTAGCTGTAGGAGAAGGATGCCTTCTGTGCCAAGGATGTACTCTCCAGTGCCCCACTCTGCTGGGAGAGGCTGGGGCAGTACTCAGCCGCGCTGCCAGGGAAGTGGCCAGCGCTGCACCCTGTGGGCATGGGAGACACAGCTGCTGCAGGGCTGGGGGTAGGGGTGTCTCAGGCAATGGTGTGGAGAGCCCCCGGAGCTGCAGGTGACCAAACTTACTGCAGGTGGGTCCCTGGGGCCCTGGGTGGGTTGTGGGAACGACCAGAACTTGGCAGCTGGAGAGAGGGGAACTGCCGGAGAAGGGAGTAGCTCCCCTAGGGGAGTGCTGCGGTGGACAGCAGCTGTGTGGTAGTACAGCCATGACTGTGGGAGACTCAGCAGGGCAGCCATCCAGCTCCTGGTGTGACGACCAGGCCAGGGGGTGGTGAGGGTTTGGCAATCAGTGGGTGGTAACAATGGTGGCTTGCAGAAACAGTACAGCCAGCACGGACCAGGGAATCTTTGGGGTCAGGATTCAGATCTTCGGGAGCTCTGGATTGAGGCAGATGTGGGGGAGGGTTGCCTCCCGGACAGAGGAAGCACTCTAGGTTGTCATGCGGGTCTTATCATTTACCATAATCCCCACACACATCCTCCTGGACACTGGGCTCACTGATCACCACGGAGCTCCCAGTATGGGCTGCTTACTTGGGTGCCATCTTGCCAGTGTCCTACTTATTTGTAGTCATATGTTTCTTTCCAGACCGTATCCATGCATACAGGCATGTCTATATCGTGGCATACCAATAACTCCTGTTTGTTCTCCTGTTTTTAATGTCACATGCATGATGACAAGTGAAATTAGATCACTGATCAAAGTAGATGCTTTTATGTAGCCAGCAGTTGTTAGTGGCTGCCAATTTGGATTCATAAGGGATTCTATACTGGAGATCATGATACTCATAAGATTGTTTAGCAAATAAAATATGATATAAATAAATGCAATCTCAAGTTTTCCGGATGTTAGGTCCCTGGGGATGAAAGAAGAATGCAGGAAAGTAAGGCAATATCTACTGGAAATGGGTTCAAGGTGCTCTAAATGAAATGCAGACGATTATCCTGTAATTGAAAGAAATACCTGCTCCGACTCCTTTTTATGTAAACCTTCCCCTCTTCTAAAGACGTTCAGTCTTGCTGGTGGCCATGACGGTAAAGCTTCATCTTTTAATTTTTTAGTGTGTTAATTGTCTCGCAATTGTGTAGAAATTGCTCCTACACCTAGCTTTAAGCAATCAACAATTAGTCTCTCATGTAGTGGGTTAGACTGGGCTGCTGACTGCAAGGTGGGAGTGGACTAAACAGCCCCTCCAAGGGAGAACGATGAGACTGTCTGCTCCCATAAAGACCTGTCGTCTCAGAAACCCTATACAGATAGGGCCACTATGAATCAGAATCTACTCGATGGCAGGTGGTGTGGTCTAGATAGTCAATAAAATGATAAACCACGCCCTGATTGGTAACATTTGATTGCCAGGGTGTAAATTACTCCAACATGATGTATTTCAAGCTAGCTACCAACATGAATCTACTGAACACACACTGGGAAGAAGCGTGCACGAGTATGCTCTTTAATATTGTGTAGCTGGGGGAAAAGGAAGCCATGTTGACAAACCCAGGGACAAGGGAATAACAAGTGATCCAAATCAGTGGTGAGGAGGGTGTAGGAGGCCTGGTAGGGCGTGACCAAGGGTAATGTAATGGAGAGGAAACCCAAATGAAGGATGAACATGATAGTGGGACAAGAGGAAAGTAAAAGGAAATAGAGGAAAGAGCTAGGAGGCAAAGGGCATATATAGAGGTCTAAATAAAGGCAT